TTCTCCTCCTGCAGGTACTGAGCCATGGATTTTGCCATGGTTTCAAAGAAGAACCAAGAGTACTGCAGAAAAGAGTGAAAGGTTACCCATTATGCAATCTTCCTAGGAATATAATGGGAGTACATTACAAGCAGAGTGATTCAGGGGAAACTGGAAGAGAGATAAAAGAGACATGAGAAGTGTAGTTTCCTACAAGCAGCTACACGTTGAACAGGTTTCTCTTTCAAAACTGGTGACAACTGCTGTCAGAACCCTTCGTTTCCATTCTTAGAGAGTTGCACCATCTGCTGCTTAAAGTTGGTTCTACGTGTGGACTGATGCATGAATTATCCGCGTGACTGAGTGCGCACCTTGAGCAGTTTATTGCTGGTGTTGAAATCAGCAGTTTGCTTGAGGGTGGCTGTTACAGCTGTGGCCAGCAACTCATGAGTGGTCACTGAGTTTCCTGATGCAGGATTGTTGGTTACAAACACGTACTACGAAGAAAAGAGAGAAGAGTAAAACAAAAGCACTTTAGTTTATAGACACAAGCAGAAACTGACACGGGCAGTGTTTGCGGCAGCTCACCTTAACAAAAGAGCGCAGGTAGTGTTCCAGTCCCTCCTCGTGGCATTTGGAAACTATATGTATGATCACACTGAGGGCACAGAGCATGGAAATTCAATCTATGTCCTTTTATCAGGAGTAAAAGCAGTAAAAGTACAAAGAATTTGTTTTTTAGCTGACCGCAAAGAGTTAACAGCAATCTCGTGGGCTTCTTTGGTGGCGGCTGTGAGCACCTCAAACAGCTGCATCAGCACTGTTGGCAGGAAGGTGATGATGACGTGAGTCTCCATGGCATGTAGGCACTGAGGGAAAGAGGCCAGACAAGATCATTTTTACTTCTGACTCCCAGATATTTACAAGAATGACAGCCTCGTGATTACACGCCTCCACACAATATATACATCTCCCTGATCTTGAAAAACTGTAGCCTATTAGATATAAAATCAGCACTCTGCATTATTTTATCTGATTAGAAATATATGTGAAAATCTGTCTTGATCTGAATCTCTATGCTTGATGTAATGAAATTTCCTGTCAGACATTGCTGACACATTTCCTTCATATTCACAGCATAGACTGTATAAAAAAGATGTTGGTACCCCTTATGCTGCCAAAACAGCAAAACTTTGACCTGCAGCAGTTTCCCTGCTGGGTCAAACCACCCGGGCCAGCCTTCATTCCCCACGTGCACATGTTAATTGCTCCCTAAAATGTTAGTCCTCCCATAAAAATGTTTTCCCAAAGGAAAAACTCTTAAAAATAAGATCTAGCATAAATCTAGCATTTAAATAGTTTTGATTTTTCATACAAAATTCAGTACAAAAGAGGTTAATGTCTAAAAAGATTTAGTTTTTTGACAATATCTTTTGTCATTGTTGCATTTGGGGTTGCCATCATCCATCCATATCCCTTATTAACTTAATAAACTGTGTTATAAGCATTTTACTGCTTTAATGGAGGCTGTTGTATAATAGCACTGAAATGTATTTTGATTGTTGAATGACTGAGGCTCTGTGAAAGCTCATAAGTAGTCATAATGATGCATGCCCTACAAAAATGATCGATCTGTTAGTGCATTGCCGAACGACACATACAGTGGAAGTACTGTAAATGATCAATAACTGCACATGGACCAAAGCTAAAAAACTGACTGTGCACTGCCTCACAGCATCTTACCTTCAGGTATTTGATCAGTTCTGCTGGGTTGCCTTCTGATGCTGTTCTCATCAGCTGGCAGTGCTGGAAGAATTTGTGTAGGTGGAGGTCCTGCGGCGAAACAAAACAGGACATCAGTGTTCCTGAAAACCTTCATTTGTGCATAAAAAAGCAAAAGAACCAAATTGTACCTGAGGATATATCGTTGATGCTACGTGGGTCCTCACTTTAAACAGTGTCTTGCCGTTTTCCACCCACTTGATATCAGCCTGAGACCATTCGAAGAAGATAATAGACAAAACAGAGTCAATAAAGTATCTGCAAACTTTTCACATTCCCTCAAAACTCCAATAACCTTCAGGGCTAAAACCTGAGGGCTCAACGTTCGCTTTAACATCGTGAGCATGACAGTGACAGAGCTGACCAGAGCGTTTTCATGGCTACAATCTAACCTTCCTGGTGTCCTGACAAAGATATCCAGCAGGCAAAGTGGCAGCCACGGGCAACTGGAACTCCAACGACTGCATCCTCCCATCTTTAAGCAAAGGCATCCAGGAGTAGCCCACTGAAACACGCGAAAGCAGCCGAGCTTTAGAAGAAGGCATTTTAACAAGCTAAATAATGTGCTCACCAACATTTTAATAAAGCTTCATTAAGCCAAATGTCTCACCAAGTGACTCCACTCCGTCCCTCTTCTTGCTGCTGGCTTTGCTGCTGGATTCACAGCTGATGTGGTAAAAGGTGAAGAGGATATGATGTTTCTCATGCACGTGAACCGGCAGCTCGATCTTCACCTGCACACACAGAGGAACAGGTCACTGTTTTAATCTTCTTATGTCACCATCAGTTCAATCTTCACACATAAACAAGATTAGAGGCACCGATTCCAATAATGGATACCATATAGGTATTACATAGTACTGCCAAGGCAACATTTTAAAGGATGTGCCACATGCTGTGATTTCCTCGTTGTCTTTTTTGATGTTTTTTATACACTGTGGGGTTGCTTGCTCAAGAAACCTGCAAAAATATACAGACAGTGAGGGTTTCCTTCAGCCTCTAAATTATTAAGAGGTAAAATGAACATAAAATCAACAAAAGACATCTAAAAATAACCATCTTGTGTATTTTCAGGTATCTGTACTTTACTTGAGTAGCTTTTTTTGGACTACTTTTCATTTTTACTCCCTACATTTTTAAACAAATATCTGTACTTTCTATTCCTTACATTTTCATAACAGACTTGTTACTTCAGTGCTTCAGCAGTATCATCTATAGAGTTGGGAGTTAAAGTGGGAGCAGGTGAGTGCAGGTGTAAGTTGTGATAGCAGTACTTCAGAATCTAGCTTGCGCTGCAGAATAGGTCATTTTAAATGCAACGCTTCTATCAGTTCAGCAAACATCAGCAAACACACAGTGTGTTACAAGCTACAGGGCCACCTGCTGGATTTCACAGGGAGAGAAGAAAGAGAGCCAGCTTCACTCAGAGATGGAGAAGGATAAGAAAGAAAGAAAGAAAGCATTTGCATTTAAGCTGATGAAGATTAGATTCATGCACTGAATTCCAACTTTATACCAACTGTGATCTGTCTGGTATAAAGTCAGTATAAACAGCTTAGTGTCAGTGTAAGGGACGGACATCTGCCACAGTGAAACTGCTGACATCTTGTTGAATTCAGTTGTTGTTTCACTGCATGTGTCCCACATGATAGATTCAATCTAATTACATTTACTATAATAAATAATAACAATAACAGTATAAACAGTTTAGTGTCAGTGTAAGGGACAGACATCTGCAACAGTGATTGAATTCAGTTGTTGTTTCACTGCATCTAATTACATTCTAATTACATTTACTAAAATTAGAATTTAAATTTGAATAATATGTACTAATATTATGATATTATTATATTAATATAGGTTCAGTTACCTTTGTATGAAAGTTGTTAGTAGAAGTGTCCTTCAAAGAGCTACTTTCTTACTGTGAGTACATTTCAGAGCCTGTACTTTTACACTTTTACTTGAGTAAAAAAGTTGAACATCAGAGAAAATGATTTTTTTAGATGCCGAAAGGCTAACAGCATTGTTTTGGAGTAAATGTCACACACTAAAGATGTCAAATCATCTTCTACAAAAAACGACACATGTACTGAAACAGAAACTGGAGCTGTTTGGAGACGTTTGGGATGCTTTTGTAGTGTAACTGTTCTCTTTTTGAGTGTTTCTGGCATGAATTTGAACACTTTGTGCATTTTCTCTCCATGAAGAAAATGAAAGGGGTTTGCTTGTGCTTTTTTATTTATGTGTTTATCCTTTAATTAATGTTTAAAATGAAAAAAAAACAAAAAAACAACAACAGCAAAAGCATTGTTTCATCTGGGAGTTGCTGCTGTGACACCGAGACACCAGAGGGCAGCAACAACAGGGAGATGGATTTTTCCTGCGACCACACATGCTGGTTTTATTGACAGGAAATGACACAAAAAAGTTTTGATGACATGCACAGACCCAGATCGTCATAAACAGCCTCTCAATGCCATGACTGAATATCACGGCTCTTACATTTATAACACCAGAACACGTGATTCATGCATCGTTCTGTTTTAAATTTACTCTCGTCTGCAAATTAGACAAAAGTCTAAAGACCAGACAAGATATATCCTTAAGATATAAAAGTTAACAAATTTTAGGTGTGACTATGACAAACAAGATCAGAACCCTTTATATAATATCAGTAACTATAAATGTATCCTACATGTTGCTTTTAAATGCACTTCACTATGGAACTAACAAGACCGACAGATTTAGAAGCACAAAGATCATCGTTGCCTTGTTGAAGCAGAAATTTTGGTTGATGTGACTGGAAGCTGAACAATGTGAAGGTAAATCCCACAGAGTGCACTTCTGTGTGTTCCTGCATGCATGTGGGTGCACACAGGGGGAGCTTAAGATCCTAATCCCTTTGATATCAAGACCATATGGACCCCCTCTGCTCTACCGCTCTAACTGTACCTCTTTTGCTGAGCTGTATTTGTGTGCGTGTGCATGTGCATGCGTGCACTGACTGTCGGGTCAGTTTAGTGCGAGATCACAACCCTGAGACAGATTTATGGGATTATCTCAGTGCTGCTGAGGAATGTCAGTACTAAAGACGGCCAATTAGAAAAAAAAAAAGATTTAAGGGCATAAACTAAATTTCTTTTTAAAATCAAACTCATTTCTCAGTTTTTGGAAGCACTCAACTTCCTCTAAATCTGCTAACTTGATCTAATTTAATATGAATTAAAAGGCGATGCCATGTGTGGAAGAAATAAGGTCGAGCCTGCAACATGAGCTCACCTCATCGTAGAAGTCAGGGCTCTGATTGTGGTGCAGGACGGCTGCGTAGGTGCTGCTGGTGAAGAGTGAATCTCCCGGCTTGCCGTAGATGCACTGAAAGGCAAAGAGGCGCATTGGTTATTGGACTCCTTTGATTTTACGGGCACGGTGATGAGTAAGCGCTCAGGAAGCTGTGGTTACTGCCATAAATTGTACAAAAGGCGAGGAAGTGAGCAAGCCTGTATGGATCATGCAATCAGCAATGATTTAAACATAGCCTGAGAGAAACTACAAAGGACGACCTAAGATTGCAAAATGTTTGGGCTCTGACTAGACAGATGCCACAGTGTGACAATTTCTATTCTTTTGAACCTTGCACAAAACTCATGGACTTATTTCATGTGAGCAGCAGAGCCCTTCCTCCAGAACATGATGACACAAACAAGTCAATTCAATTCAATAAATGACAACAACAGTTGGCTGCTTCATATTGTCAGGTAAAGACCCTACAACAATAGAGGGTCTTTTATTGGGTTCTCTAATAATAGAGATCCCACCCCGTTTCCATGAGCAAGCATTTGGTAAATGGCCTGCATTTGTATAGCGCTTTTCTAGTCCTTAAGGACCCCAAAGCGCTTTACACTACATTCAGTCATTCACCCATTCACACACACATTAACACACTGGGGATGGCAGCTACATTGTAGCCACAGCCTCCCCGGGGCGCACTGACAGAGGCGAGGCTGCCGGACACAGGCGCCACCGGGCCCACTGACCACCACCAGTAGGCAAACATGGGGTTAGTATCTTGCCCAAGGATATTTGGCATGCAGCCAGGAGGCAGCCTGGGATCAAACCACCGACCTTCTGATTAGTGGCTGACCTGCTCTGCCACCTGAGCTACAGCCACCCAAACAGGTGGCTCTAACAGTGGGAAAGAAAAACTCCCCTTTAACAGGAAGAACCCAGGCTCAGGATGTGGCAGTGAACTGTCACGACCGCTTTAAGGTGACTTTTGACCTCTGAGGATCACTTTTGAGGAGGAGTCAGTGCAAGAACTCTGTGGGAAAAATTAAAATTCGCAACAAGCTCAAGCTTGACCAGGTCAGGATGTTTCTAATGAAGGGTGACAAAGGGGAGGGAAAAAATTCCAACCACTTGTGATGGCTTCATACTGTAATTAGGATGCTAACTATTGTTGTCATCGCTAATGAACATGAATGTGCAGCGCTAGCCAACAGGCCGGACAGAGCTACAGGAGCCAAATGCCTGAAAGCCTCCGCAGGAGACGAGCCCAGAGGATGGGAGAGGCTTCGTGAGAGAGGACAGGGTTCACAAATCCCAGAACAATCTGGAAACAAGCTGTAGGTGGAGCAGGAAAGAGGCAGGGGGAAAGATCTGAGATCCAGGAGTGCAGGTGGTGCATGGTTTGATGTGTACCTCTAGAGCTGCAGAGGCAAAGAGGCTGATGGGAGTTACGATTGTCTGAGTCAGGATGGGGGCCGAAGGAGGTCTGGAGAAGCTGCTTCTGATATTATCTATCACAAAGGCTGGCATGTTAGCACATGAACTGCACCACACATGACTTAAAGTGTCGGCCACTGGTGCAAAAATGAGAGCACTCCAACCATGAACTCAAGGATTGAGGAGCAACTGGTCTCTCAACGATGAAATGGAAATGAATACACTTTAAATTCCCGTCCTCTGAGAATTCCATCCTCTTCAGCCCTCACATTCCGACTCCATAAGGCTTTGAATGAATTTCCTCTCAGTCTGGCTGCATCTTATGTAAACCCCAGGACCTTACTGAGCTTCCGCTAACTCTGATTAAATCTCCCGAGAGGTGTGCCGCCTGCTCCTGCTCCTGTTTGTAAACAGCTTTCTGCCTCACAGTACTTTGAACGTTGTCTGGAACGCAGTCTGACCCACGTCTGGGTCAATCTGTGTGTTTCCTAGCTGCGGTGTAATATGCCCGACTGCCCGCTGATTGAAAATGCTCAATGTTTTCGTGGTTAAACTCAGAATTTCTGTTTCTCTCCCTCAAGAAACGTGAAAAGAAAAACAATCTGCAGCACTTTGATGACTATTTCCAACCACAAATATTTGAAATGTGTGGCCAGAGAGAAAAAGAGTGACCATTCATTATCTTCCGTTGCCAGCTATAATAACTGGTTGCTGCGAGCGCTTCCCTTCTCCTCCTGGGCCCCTCAGCTGCAATCTCAAGTCCACTTTGTAAAAAGCAATAAAAGGAAAAGTTTATCATATCTGAGGCCCCTGTCACTGATCGAATCTCTCCCAGGACATTCCACTGCAGTGTTATTGTTTCTCAAACAATAATCCGGGCTTCTGGTGCGCCTCTTCAACAATCTTCACTTTTTTGTATTGGTCTCCCTCTATTCCTTGTTTCCTTTTTATTGTTATGTTGACTGTAGCATTTTAAAACCTTTTCTATGTTCTTCTCTCCATTAGCTTTGCTGAGCTATGTAGAGAGCCAGCATCACGTCTATAGTTTGATAAAACTATGAGACACAGTCACTCTCTCTTCCATACATTGTTCCTTGTCTATAAACTCTCCTTTTCAAGCTCTAGAAGTAACGAGGCAAAAACAGATATTCCATATAAGACAAGAAAAATGATGTACAGAATAATGTCAAAAAAAATCTGTGACGAAGTGGCAGCGAGCTAAGCGTCAGGGTCTGTAAAACTGAAGCCGATGCGTTCTTTCTGGCAGCCAGCAGAGGGGCGATTCCTGGCTGCAAAGAAGTGTATATTGGGGTGGGTTTAGATTATCGATTTTCTGATTAAAATCGATTTTAGCTTGAATAACACGATATCGATTCATTAAAATATAAATTTATTTTGCCCGAAACGACAGAATCTCAGGTTAAACCTCACAAAATTTCCACAACCACCAAACACCAAATGAGAGCAGGTACACGGATTCTGCACAACACATCAGAATCAGTGAGATGTCAGGTTTCTCACCCAACGGCACGTACGCAGAGATGCCATCGGGCCAAAAGGTGGCTGCAGCTCAGGAGGTAGAGCAGGTCACCTACTGATCGGAAGGTTGGTTCGATCCCTGGCTCCTCCAGTCTGCATGTCAAGTATCCTTGGACAAGATACTAACCCCAACTTGCTCTCCGGAGTCATCGGAGTATGAAGGTGTATGAATGTAGTTAGAAAGCACTAAGTGTAGATAAAGTGCTTGTGAGAATGGGTGTGATTGGGTGAATGAGGCATGTTGTATAGAGCGCTTTGAGAACTCCGGGAGAGTAGAAAAGCGCTATATAAGAATCAGTCCATTTACCAAAAGCTCACAGATTCTGATGCGTTGGCGCGTCCGTGCTTTGTGTTTACGTCTTTTTTTTGCACTACACTCTGAAGCTGCAGTTTTGTCTCTCTCCAACCAAAATTGACTAACCAGCAGCAAAAAAAGATCCAAACTACGCTTCACATTTCGCTTCTCATAAACATCGTCATGAATTCCCTCTTACTTTTGCTGCTTTGCTTCCACCACGATATAATGAAACTTCCTGCACAACTCTCTCTCTCTCTCTGTGTACTTTAAGAACACTTTCGCATCTAAAAATCTGTTTTCTGCATTAATCGCTTGCTTATTACGCACCAGTCTACCGTTATGTACAGCGCTGTCAGCCACTTAATTTAACTGACTTCTGACAACAAAGCCTCATTCCTGCTGTTCACTGAAGAAAATTAAACTTCTTAAAATGATGCCAAATTGCAAAACACTTAGCTGTGCCTCTAATCAAACCTCTGTAACTCTTTAACCTCTATAACAGGCTCCTTCCTTCATGTTTTTCTATGTTTTGTCCTCAGCTACTTTGACACAAAGGCATCTGCTGTGATGCTTACACCTTTGATAAAGTCTCACAAGTGTCAGCTTTCTTTTTATAGATATAAAAATATGGATATGCACTGATAAATGATCAGAATTATAATATTTCTGACAGTCTGAGGCAAAATTTCCCCGATTCAAATCAAATCGAATCTGATCGAATCGAATCGCGTATCAAATCGAATCGGGACCTTGTGAATCTGAATCAAATCGAAATAAGGCTACGTTCACACTGCAGGCGAAAGCGCATCAAATCCAATTTTTTTGACCCTATGCGACCCATATCCGATCATGCTATGACAGTGTGAACGGCACAAATCCGATATTTTCAAATCCGATCTGGGTCACTTTCGTATGTGGTACTGAATCCGATACATATCCGATGTTTTAGAAAGCGACCGCTGTTTGAACGGTCATGTCGCATTAAATCCGTCTTTTACGTCACCGACACAAGACAGACGCCAATTATCAGCGCCGGAGAAGCGCCCGAGAAGACATCGCGAACGCTTCCTGGCCATCCAGTGTAGATGTCAGTGAAACTGTTGGGAAGACAACGTTGGAGAAACGTGAACATTTTATTTGTTCTGTATAATCTGCAGATTCTGACAGAAATCTGCAACAATCCTTTGAAGCACCGCTCCTCTAAAACAGCAATAAGGATAATTATTAGGTTATTTACATTATTATGTAAATAACAAAATAACTTAAAGCAAAAATTGGGAAACGTAAAATCCGAAATCTTTATATTAAGGGCCATCAGTCAAACAATATTGTTTGCTCTGGGTCTAAACAGAGTGCGTTGTGTGTGACGTCTTCTTTTGCGCATGTGGGCCGCTTTGAGCGTTCACACTAGAGCGCGTTTGCTGTCACATTTTAGTTGTAGTGTGAACACGCAGACAAAAAATCGGATTTGATCAAAAAATCGGAATTGAGCATTAAGACCTGCAGTGTGAACGTAGCCTAAGTGACGATACCGAGCCCTAATGCATATAAACGTCTCTGTAAAAACGGACCTCTGTTGATCTTTGAGGTCACAAACAACTTCCTGATGAGTTTATGGTCTCAGCTGCTAGCTTGAAATCTTATTTCATACAGCACAATGTTCATTTTGTAAACAACAGTCTCCACAAAAGGTAAAAAAGATGGCAAAACAGGGTTTGAATTAGAGTGGGCCTACCTTGTAAGTAATTCACTTCAGTTTTGTTTATACACAGCAACAAATCACAAAAAAGTTGCCTCAAAGCATTCTGTATTATAAAGACGCTTCAATGAAAGAGTGAAACCCCCAACAATCAAACGACCCCCCCATGAGTGAGCGTTTGGCAAAAGTTGGAACAAAAACTCCAGTTTAACAGGAAGAAACTTCCAACAGAACCAGTCTCAGGGAGGGGCAGCTATCTGCCGTGACCCATTGGGACCCCAGCTGACCCTATTAGGCTTAGAAAATTATTAGTGTGCAGCATCCTTTCATTCATCCACAAGATATGCAAATTACTCATCACATCCAGTTTTACAACAGCCAGGTGGCAACAGTAACAATACTCTGAGGCTTCACAGCAGCTCTTTGCTAGCAATGGCTGACGTCACAGTGGCTGCTTCTCTGTCCTATATATGGCTGCCAGCGGTGATTTAATGTTGCACTTGGTTAATGCATTTCTGACCATCTGCTATATATAACAGAAACAGTGGGAACAGCAAGGTCATATAGGTGCAGTACTTCTCAAACACACTGGACAGATTGCTTGAACATGAGTCCGCTCCACCCCCCAGCCACTGCTACACATCTGGTTATAAATTCATACATCAATATATCATGTCAATGATAGTCTGAAGACAATCACAGTTTATTGGTAAACCTGAAAAAAGTCACATGTTGCAGTACACACTGACCTTTAAAGGAGCAGCACCTTCCTCATCAGAATCTCGGAACTGGATGCAGATGGCAATGTTTCTGGCCTGCAATGGAGGAAAGGTGACATTAGTCAGCCAAGCAGACAATCAGTAAGAACGACTGTGTCTCTGAGCTCGGTCAGTCACGCACGCTTCGTTCTCAGTATGCACCAGTAACACACAAACGGGCAATATTTAAAATGTACCACCACCATCACCCATCACATCTTTTTCATCCTAACTCACGCACCTTAGTGAAGGTCTTCTGGTTGTCATATTTGAGCTGCAGGGGGTAGACATACAGCTGGTTCTTGTAAGTGGTGAAGGGGTAGTTGTACTTGGCTTCCTCGGGGAGGAATTCCTCTATCTCCACCGACACCCGCTCACAGCCGTCCTCGAAGGGCTTGACGGGAATGTAAGAGGACGTCACCGTGTCTGGGGCACAGAGCACACGTCGGGTCAGAGGACCAAACCTCCACTGCTGTGTCACTGCCTCTCGTGTCATGTCAGTTAACGTCATTTCATTTCTGATCTACAAAACAAACCCTTCACTGCGCAAACCCAGACATGAAACCTGACGCTTCCTACACGCCGTGTCACATGCTCTCTGTGGGAAACATTGATCATTGCATCTGATAATACGGATGATCTAAAAATGTAACTTCTCAAAAGTTCTCAGATTTAACAAAATTTTAATTCAGGAATATTTGATTCTGTTGTTCTTTAAAGAACATCTTAACAAGGCTTTTACAAGGCAGCATCCAGCATGTTAATAGCCCAGTCTGATCGCTCTTAGTGGAAATCTGAAGGAACAGAGTGTCTGCTCCAACCTGTGCTTGTGCGATTTTTGCTTTAGCGTCCCACCCTGCGGCTGTTTCAGCAGAACTACGGACACACTGGCTTAATAGTTCAGGCTTTATGGATCAGAAAGTGGCTAAATTATCATTTATGTCTCCTATTGAACATCACTGGGATATACTAGGCTGATCAGAGGCAGTGGCCACTGCATATCTGCAGGCTACACTCATTCAGGAATGGAGATCATTTCCTCAACATCAGACCCAGACACTCAGACAGGTAGCTGCTTGCATCCCACGCAGAGATGTATGCATGGGATGCAATGTAAAATCATTTGATATAATTGTTGGGTTTCATGCAGTGAACAACACAAAGCTGCTTACTTGAGAAATCAGGCGGGACACACTCGATGGTGACGTTCAGCTGTCCAGGGATGATCTGAAGTTTGCTTTTCTCTGGTCTGACAGGGAAAAGGAGATTCAGCACAAGATCAGTGTCCTTTTAAGGGTTAAGTGTGCTTTATATGTGATGACCTCCCTAATGACAATCCTGTTTGAGTAGCACTTCCTCTTAGGCAATGGCATGTGAAATATAGACCTAAAGGCATAAGTGTACCCCTGGATGATGTTTTTGTGCCACAGTAACTAAGCGCTAGCTTAAATAGCAGAGGAGTGGTGTTGACTCACTTCCTGATGTCGGCCAGCAGCTTGATGAGGTCATCAGTTGAGATTTTGCTGCTGTCTTGGCGATAGAGAGGAGAAAACTTCCCATCCATATCCAGGCTGCCCTGAGCGTCTTTGAACACCTGCCTGCAACCACAACACACACATACAGTTCTTGCCTCATACGTGCAACCAAATACCAACATTTTAGTATAAAGTATAAAGTATGAAGTTTCACTGTTTAAAAACACTTATTTTCTTCATGTTTGTTCTATTAAAGAGTTGCTTGCTCCTGTACACAGACTCCCCTGCTTCCCTGTGTTTCTATATTTTTGTTACTTTTGTTCTTCTTCCAGATTATAGTTTAGAACAGTTGTATGAAAGGGCCTTTTGTCTTCGTGTGATCTCTGCTGGATATTTGGATATATGTCAGTGGGTTCTAACATTTTTGAATGACGCCTGAAGTCTCTTAATCATTTTTCGCACCATTTAGTAAAAGGTGTGACTTCTGTGCTGGCCTGGAGTATTTTTATAGCTCACAGCATTACCAGTTACATGTGAAAGCCACCACTAGGCCTGGAGGCTTGGGGTGGGGATGAAGGTGGAGATGAGGGTGGAGATGGGGGTGGGGTGTGAGGCTCGTAAAATCTGTCACAGATTCTAATTTCAAGTCAAGACCGGACAGTTCCTGGAAGTTTTCTGTGCTGCTTTTCATTAGCTGCACTTCCAACAGCAGCTAATAAAAAGCAGAAGTGACTGCTCTTCATTATGAATGTTGAATTCCACAACTGGGATGTCGTAATATAAAGTTTATCAACATAATCCAGATCAAACTGGATCAGCAAACAAGTAAATGTTCTTTTACACAAACTTTATTTAACCTCAAAGTCGAGAAATTCCTAAACTTTTGGAGTCCAAAAAGTAAATATTATCTTATTTTCTCCCTTTATGACGAACAGATGAGGCTTTACACCTAATTGTTGATGTTATTATGCTCTTGCCTTTGCACATGTTCACATGAGATCACTCCGAGTTGAATCAAAACAGATTATTTACAAGATTAAGAGGTTTGACTCATGAATTATTTCTGTCTTACTTGGCAGCCCAAGCAAACGGCATCCTGTACTGGCCCAAGCGTTGGCATGTCTGCTTGGCAGCTTTGAGCACCTTCTGAGCAGTCTGAGGAGACACGGGAAAGACATCATCAAGTCAACACCGGAGCAGTTTCCACCGTCTCCTCCACGAGGTCAAAATCGATGGCAGCGTACCTTAGTGATGTCAGAGGTTTTCATGTATGGCTCAGCGCAGTGGGTGATGCCATTCTGTAACACCTTCTCCACACGGGCCACCAGGAAGATATCTGCATGGGGGTTAGTCACTGAAAAGATACCCTGCAAAAGAGAGGGAGAAATGACTGAGGAGGCCTAGCAATCAAGACATGTGGTTGGGATTTGATTTGGCAGCTTTCGAGGGTCTTTTCTTAGAACGATCTTCCGAGAAATCTGCTACTGTGAATGGAGAGGAGAGATGCCGAGTTCTATGAAGAGAAACGTGGCCAAAGTTTCAAATGATGACGCCAACCTATCAGACTGCTCAACACGTTCTCTCACTCCCAAAGTCTGTTCACGGCTCTGTACGATCTCAATGAAAACAGATATCCCTAACGTGGTCATGCCAGGAACACAGATGTGGGCACAGAAGCTTGAACGGTTGCTGACTTCCTGTTTGAAAGGGTCATCCAATCAAGTGGTGTGTGTGAGAGAGGTAAAAGGAAATTAAAGGTGTGGAATAAAGCGCTGTATGAATGTGTGATAGTGTAAAAGTGCTTCGAATGCTCACTAGGAGTAGAAAAATTCAATGTGCCAACAACTCCACAAATATAAGCATAAAAAGGTCAAGTGCAACTGTTTTCACTCTTAAATTCATCACCTGCTTCTGTGTGAGATCAATTCAGGGGAAACGGTTGATGCTAAAGCTGTACAGGAAAACCACATGGTGCTCACACGTCTATTTAAGGGCCGATGAGATGCGTCTGCATTTAAGCTTCCAAGTTCAAGTAAAGCAAACAAAGGCGACAGTAACTACAATCAGACTAAGCTATGCTGCTCGCACTGGTATGACTAATAAAAACTTCAATAGAAATTTCTGGAAATAGAAAAAAAAGCCTAAGCATAAGTGACAAAACTGAATGACAGTACCAAGGAAGCAGCTGATTCAGATGCAGACATAACAATCTGGACATTACTAACACTTATCTTTAAGGAGGCTAGCATGCTGCCAGTCACAGACACACACACAGAGCAGGGTTACACTCCAGGCCAGAAACCTGTCCATCCTCTGTCCTCATTCACAGCCCTTAAAACCACACACAGCTGCTTTTGCTTTCAGTTTTCGACGTTATTTGCTCCTCACCGCTCATCCTCGACCAGTTCTTACAGCGTGGTTAAAAAAAAAGCTTGTAAATGCTCCATTTGGGCATTAAACTTTCCTCATAGTTCATAAAGTGTCACATCCTTTCTGTGCAAAGATAAACCATCTCACTGCTGAAAATGCTGAAACTCAAATGGGTAAGATTTGTGACTTGCGTAATAAAGAGGGTCCAGAGGTTGTGGCGTCCTCCTGAGAGCTGCTGCAGAGATGAGAGGTGAAGCCTGTGTCCTTGGAACACACCCAATGCACCTAAATTAAACTGCGGTCTGCAGACCTATAATAGCACACTAATCACAGAGGCAGGAGCCGCTCTGTTTGTATGCATATATTTGTGTGTACATGTGTGTTCTGCTGGTGCTCCACAGATGTTTCTGGCAGAGAAGTCCAAAAATTAAACTTTTTCATGCCTGTAGCTTTAAGGCGGCCCTGCTGCTGCTGGTTTGCTGGCTGCAAAAGTCCTGCGTTTGTCACTCTCTGCCCTGATTCATCCCCTCGTCTCGGAGCTTTTTCCTGCTTTTTGCTGCGCTGTTCATCAACTCGTTTCTCCCGTCATGGAAATGGAAAGTGAGCTTGTTTTATAACCGCTGCTGGTTTATACCAGGCACCGGTCCTGTTGAGTGACTTCACTGCTGTAACGGGCCAAGCGGCCAGAGGTAAAGAACAGGCCGTGTGTGCGCCGAGCTCACAGCACCTGCAAATGTTTGCAGAAGGGCCTGAGCCAAGAGTAACGCTCACACATGCACATTATTTCTCCCCAAATAAACTCTACACTTAAAATACCGCAAAACAAAGTGACAGGACATAAAGCTTACATCCCGAGGCCCGAGCTCACATCAGGAAGCAAAGTGATTCTGAAATCACTTGCAAATGTTCGCCCAATGAGCCGAACAGGATCCTTTCACAGTTCTTTAGGTCTGGTTGGGGACCAAAGGCTGGCTTGTGACACACTCAGCGTTGTCTTGCATGACAAAAAAGATCATGCACTGGCCAATACAGCTAACTCACTGTACACACAGTGTCAGCAGTCCTGACTGAGGCCAGGACTGTGCAGGGCCAGCTGCAACCAATATGGCAAAGCTGAACCTATGTGACAGAACCAGATGAGAGCTCAACAGTGTGTAGACATTTTAAAGACTAAGCATGACAGAGGGCCGCCTCCAACCATCAACTTGGCTTAGAAAAGTGCAGAAAGTGATAAAAACAATGCAAGACAAATGATTTCTGTAAATTCTAGCTCATAAAACCATCATTTGCTTGCGTTTGATTCAGTCTCTCATCGCTTTTTAGTTTCTGCATGCTTCTACCTGCTCTGTCGAAGGAGAGAGTTACTCAAAGACACGTTTTCCCTCTTCTCGTAAGAACGATCGACTCTTCGTGTTTCAACATGTCAGTTTATTAGGGTTTTTTCAGCTTTCAGGGTTTTTTCATATATTTCCTGTTATGGATTTCACATAATGACATCGTCATCTTTATAATTAAGGACAGCAGCTTAAGTTCAGATTATTTTACTCTTCGCTCTGTGTGAGGTCCGCCGCAATACGGCCATTAGGGAAGCTCCACCCAAATAAATTAACACTCATTTTCAGTGTATTCTATAGATAAGCTAACTGACCATAGGTCACGTAAAACCAGAAGCAGAGTTCAGTCTCAGTTTCACATCAACTAAACCTCTAACGCAGCAGGATGACAAACATACTCTCTCATGATCTTTTTAATAATCCAGCTCCAGCATCAACCTGTTTTTGTCTGACATTAAAAATCTTCCAAACAACAAATCAACAGAAAAATGAAAAGTGTTACCCCGACTACAGAAAAACTACCACTTCTAAAGGTTTACATAGAAAGACTGAGATCATGTTTATATTTGTACTTTATGTAGTATTTAATTCCACAACAGTTTTGCAAAGAGCACAAAATATTTTGTTTTCCACGCAGCAAGATCTGTATGAACGACCCAGTGTGACTCAGCTTTCACACCCAGTTCTGACTGTGTGACTCAGCTGCAGTCACTTTCTCTATCAGACACCTGTCAACATGCTATTATAGTTCCTACCTGAGTGGGGAAGCGCAGCAGAGCCTCTGACACCCTCTGAAGCAGCGGCAGGCCGTTTCCTTTCCCTGAGTCTCCGTTCACGAGGACTCCTCCCTGTCCCCCGTCCTTCCCTCCACCACCACCGTCCGAGTCAGATGAAGGAGACGCTTGAGCGGAGGTGTCAGTGAGCATCTCCCTGACAGATGGTGGATTGAGCTCAACGTGGAAGTCGGCTGAGATTTTGCAGCTCTTGGAGACATCGAAGAGAGCGAGGCTGATGAAGAACGGTTCCACCTGCGAGTCAGCAGAGGGACGGTTACAGGCTGCAGTCCAGCACGTACCTTTATTACTTTACAATATTTCACTTTAAGACAAAATCTCAGAAATCAGGTCATATGAGTCTTTAGTTTTAGCATGAATTAAGCAATAATGCACACTCTTCCCACCAGTAATGCAGCCTGCTAACATCAGCTAGCAACCTTTTGCCCAAATATGGTCACTTCTGGGTCCAACCAACATGCAAAGTTTTACTAAATACAACATGAGAGTCGTATGTGTGAGCTAATGAATAAATTTATAATTATTATAACAGGATTCAATGGACAGGTTTAATCCGTTTAATCTGTAATAATCAAAATTCTAGATTCAGACAAAATATTTATGGTTAAATGTCTAAAAAGGGAGCCGGAGATCGACAGACGGATTGGGGCTGCAGCTGCAGTAATGCGGACGCTGCACCGGTCCGTCGTGGTGAAGAGGGAGCTGAGTGTAAAAGCGAAGCTCTCAATTTACCGGTCGATCTACGTCCCTACCCTCACCTATGGCCACGAGCTGTGGGTAGTGACCGAAAGGACGAGATCGCGGATACAAGCGGCAGAAATGAGCTTCCTCCGAAGGGTGGCTGGCCTCTCCCTTAGAGATAGGGTGAGAAGTTCGGCCATCCGGGAGGGGCTCAGAGTAGAGCCGCTGCTGCTCCACATCGAAAGGAGCCAGCTGAGGTGGTTCGGGCATCTGACAAGGATGCCTCCTGGGCGCCTCCTGGGTGAGGTGTTCCAGGCATGTCCCACCGGGAGGAGGCCCCAGGGCAGACCCAGGACACGCTGGAGAGATTATATCTCTCGGCTGGCCTGGGAACGCCTTGGTGTTCCCCCGGATAAGCTGGAGGAGGTGGCTGGGGAGAGGGAGGTCTGGGCCTCCTTGCTTAGGCTGCTGCCCCCGCGACCCGGCCTCGGATAAAGCGGATGAAGATGGATGGATGGATGGATGTCTAAAAATATTTATATTCTCTCAGTGTGTCATCCTCAAGTACAAGCAAACTATTTTGGAAACCTGCAATTCCTGCATGATGGACAAAATCGCTCCATCCAGTGAACTTTACAGCTGTCTGAGACCGCCGAGGGAAAGAAGGGATGGAAGAAGAGGAGGGAACGAGAGCGTGTGCTGCTTCCAAACCACAAATGAGTCAGATGATTTCTCCTGCCAGCCTTTCTAATGCATCAGCAAGCAGGAAAAGGAGCAGGGGGAGAAGTTGGTCTAGCTCTGTGTTTTATATCTAAAGCGATCCGCCCTGACAAAGGCAGAGCTCACATATGCTCAAAAATGCTAGCTCACGCAACTGAAAGCTCCTCATCCGGCACACAGTAAACATTTCTGCATTACCCTCCATGCCTCAGGCTTAAATAAAGAAAGATTTGTTTTAGTGCTAATGCAACAAGATTGCATCCTGGTTCCTAGTTTGGCTACTTCCGTTGCTTCCAGCCAGACTGACATGAATTATGAAGGTGTATTATGTGGGGCAGCACTACAGAGGGAGAGGCTGGCAGAAAATCTGCAGTGAGAAGAGGAAATCTACGTATTGCAGTTAAGAAATGTATCCTCCTCAGGTTCAGGATGTAATTCACTGTCAAAGCCATAGATTTCAACCTGGCGACATATCTTTAGAAGGAGTAGTGATGCCTACTCCTTTTCAAACAAATAATGGAATGATATTTTGTAATGATTGTGAAGGCACATGTTTGAAATGTTTGAAATAAAAATGAACTGAACTGAACTGAACTCTGTTGAACATGAGTCTTAATCTATAACGAGCCATTATGCTACCTCACAGTCTCAGCACGAAGAGATAATATCTGGTTTCAACTCTCTTCAGCTCTTGATGCTTCAAAGAGCAGGTAGATGGAGCGACTGTGCTCAAAGCCATCCTATTTAAAACTGCGGCCATGATTCATCTTTTTTTACCTGTTTAATCTAACAGTAGCACAAGTAGCAAACCACAGAACAGCTGTGTCGTGGGACAAAGGTGATGACATACATTGGTAAGGACACCGTCACCCTTCTCATTCACGCAGCCCTGCAGACTGAAGGTGAGGTCGTGGCAGCTGACCACTATACGTCGACCAAAACGCTCCTCGAAGGGCTTCACGTCTGGCTCGATCCCAGAGAAGTCCAGCCTCTGGATATCAGGGAGGAGGAGAGGGAGAAAGCAGGAGAGGGGAGAGAGTGATCCCACGGAGAGGAGGGAGGATGAGCGTGAAGAGTTGGAAGGGGGTGGAGAGATCAAACAGGGTGAATCAATAGTGAAATAAATAAATCATAGGAAAGCCAAACATTTTAAAGGAATGACCTTTTGTACCTGTGTCTCAGGATCCAGAGAGGAGAGCTTCAGCCTGCCTTCGTTCCTGTTCATCTTACTGAGCTGGTCTGTCTCCCTGGTGTACTGCAGACAGACAGCAGCGATGTAAGCGAGCTAAAAATCCATCAGGTGTTTCTTTCTTCTCTTTTTTTAACTGCAGAATTTTTTTTCCCCATGAATTTATTTATCTATACAAACAAATGGTGTAAATTTGAAAACCTACATCGCCTCGTTCTCGAGGTTATTGAGTTCACAAAGTTGCGCTGCAGTGATGACAACAATACCCCAATCACCCTTTCAGGCTGAGGGACAAACCACACAACAAACATGAAGAAACTGTTTCCACAACAAACAGCATTCCCATCTGTTTCTGTTCGATCCACATCCCCGCCAAAACTCTAAATTAAAATATTCAATGCCTTCATGGGCCCGGGCCTCCTCAGGACTCCCCGAGTCAAAGAGTTATCACACTGAACTCTTTAACACTTGAAGCAGACATAAACAGCAAGTTATCAACTGATGATATGTTTTAGAGATAAAAGACAAACAAAGTCTGGCTTTCTTTTATTTTTTTTTCTACATAAATATCCAAAATATGTATATTACTCTCACATATCTCTGATACCTTTTGTGAACTCTCCTAACACATTAAACAGTAGCACTTCAGCCGCTGCGTTCCTTCTCTTTTATTTGCACTCTTTATTGCAACAGATTTTTATAGCTTATTTGCATGGACTTCATTTATGAATGAGGCAGCAACCGCAGGTAGAAGAGCAGCGCCAACTGTAATGGTCCGGTACAGTGTACTCAGTGAGGTGCTTGTAAACTTACAAACAGAAAAAGACAGAGGAAGGTTGATATGTAGTCAAGGGACAAAAGGGGGAAAACAAAGGGCGTCCAATGGAGACAAATCAAAGCCTCAGGTTTAGGTAAGAGCCCTCAGAGTCCCTTTCTCTCCCCTCTCTTCCTCCGGTTCGCTCCTCTGTTCTCACTGTCTGCTCAGCCTGCAGACAAACTCGACCTTCTTTTACGTGCACAGAGGAAAGCTTTGCTGCAGTGGCCCAAAGCAAACAGAGTGGAACAGCAGCAACAGAGGGCTTTGTTGTTGCTGTGTAGTTTGGAGTTTATAGACACATCAGAGCGGCTCCGTCTCTGACAAACAGGACTCGCACAGAGCACCACAAATAAAAGAGATGCTGAACTTGTTCTGCTTCCGATTCATTTTTTAGATAAAGTCTCATTAAAATCATCTCATATGCTTTCTTATTATGTCATTTACTGAAGCGCAACAGTGTGATTTAACAAACCACTGATCTGTATTCACGATTATGCATTCTGTAGCTGTAGCCCACAGGTGGCTGTGAGTCAGACTGTTCTCCTTTGATTTTTGCAGATATCTGCAGCATCACAAAGAACACATGCAAAAACGAGATGCACATTTAGTTGAATTTAACGCCTTAAAGTTTGCTCACTTCTTTTTTTTGTTGTTTTATGTTATGCTAAAGGTTGATAGGGTGACAAACCCCCTTTAGTTTCTGATGGAGGACTTCACCCTTATATTTTAACACATGCACGGCTGTTTGCAGAGAGCAGCTCTGTGTAGAATCTGCTGAGCGTTACTGAAAAGACCCGGCTGTGTCTGTGTTCATAAATTAGCGCGGTGTTAATAGCCACAGAACTTTCCACTCCCTTCAGCACATTTCTGCAGCTTCACACTAATTTGACCCACTTGGTAAGTCTGTCCCAGCTAACGCAGCTTCGTTAATCATCTATCATTCCTTCATACCTTGATGAGTTCAGTGTGCAAGCTCCTCCCCGAGTTCTCCAGCATGCTCTCGCCTTTACCTTGGCTGGCCGTGTCATCATCTGAGAGGAAAAGGACAATAACCAGACATCAGTACATGTAATCCACACGAATGCCTGTTCACCAAGAACCATGCACACTACAAGTCCCTACAAAGCTTCCCTCCCTTAATGCTAATACTTCTTTTGTTCTCCACTTATCTAGTTTCCTTAGTTTTCTTTCTTCCACACCATTCAGTAATATCAGAATCAGAATACTTTATTAATCCCTAAGGAAATTATATTATGCCAAGTTTTTGGCTAATAGCTCTTTTGATATCATCTTAGTTCAAAACTAGTATTTTATGCCTGCCAGCATGTTATCTTTGGCACTTCTCATAGATTTAACAAAATAAATGGGAATACATTTGTTGTTTTTGCAACAGTCTGCAACAAAGTGCCTAAAGATACAATTTTTATATGTTTATTTGCCTCTGTCTGCTCTATGTAGACACATTTACTTATCCTAAGTCTCTTTTTTATGGTTGATCGATTCACACGTCCGTGTAAATGACTTAACAAAAAAAATACTCCTCTGACAATGTTCAGGATTGAGTGCCAAAGGAGTCCAAGAAAGACTTTGAAGGACCTTCAGAAAGTCTTGAGAACCATTATTCAAGCTCACTTGAATAGAAGTGAGCGGTGGTTCAAGGTTGTTGCACAGTCCTGTATACACAAACTCCATTGTTCCTCAGTTAGCTGATATACTAGCATGTTATTGTCTCAGGGGCTACAGGTGAAGGAGTCCACCTGCTAATTGCATATGTGTGACTGTAACGTGGAAACCAATGGAAAAAAACATGATAGGCCCGTGGTTAGAATCAGTGTTTAAAGTAAACTGACTATAAAACTATAGAAACCTTTAAATAAGACTATAAGTACTATGTAACTGCTCAAAGTTTGGTAGAACAGCTCACCAAGGACACAGTCCAGCGACTCAGCACCGTTCCTCCTGTCCTGGCCAGCCTCTGTGCTGCTCTGCAGAGCCTGTTTCAGTGTGGCCACCCATTCCTCCATCTCTGCCTCACTGTCTGCAGCCAGGAAGTGGCTATAGCGGTCTTGCATCTTAAGCTCAAAGCCATTCCGCCGCATCTTGGGACTCTGAGGAAGAAACATCATTTTTGATTGATTTTTCACTAACAGGTGGAAACTGATGAGAATTACAGGATCTTTGGTACAACTAAATAAGCCGTTAAAAGCACAGCGTAGGGAATCAAATGTAATCAGAAGAATCTCAACGTAAATTTAGAAACAAACTGAGAGTCAATGCTATTCAGCCATGACCAAACAAAACCTGATTTCCATGCTAACCTCAAGCTTCCTCATTAAATCCATGAGCCAGAATGAACTCCCTCACTCCCCCCATTCATATTCTGAGCGTGCTCATTAAACTGAAAGCTTCCTGGCCGCTTTCTCAGCCAGGTCAGCTCTGCCTGAGGAGCAATCAAGGTACTAGGCTGTGCCATGAGCCAGCAACAGCTCTTCATAATCTGCTAGAAGCTGACGTTTCTGCCCAAGTCACTGGAATTCAGCAGATCTGCCCAATTAAAGCAGCCAAAAGCCCCCAAGGGAAAGTAAGACACAGAAACACACTGAATTTCACGAGGGTGGGAGCTCATGCCAAGTTCTGAAACATCGCAGAGAGCGCACGAGGGAAATAAACACAGTGAGTTTAATTAAGCACACCAACATGGTCACAACAGAGAAAACAGCTTCATCCACTGCTGCTGGGTTCCTAATTGTACTGAGTATACCTGGATGACATCTATACAGGAGTCCAGGTAGATGGATCCTTTGGTTTCCTTGCAGTTTTTCTCATCCTTATAAGAGTTGAGGATGTAGGAGCCATCGGGGAGCTGAGACAAGTAGAAGAACCTCCTCTTGAACACCTGCAATCCAGAGCACATCTCATATGACTCATCTGACAACTCATGACAGCAAAAATATGACACTATGACATGTGACTTCAAGCTCATGTGCTGCCTTGCTAATGTAGTTAAAATTCCAGAATGAAGGGCAGATACACTGGATACTAGGACTGTGCGATATGACCAAAATCTCATATCCCGATATTAAGACATCTATCGTATCGTTATAACGATATAAATCACAAAAATGTAACATTTTCTGTAAATTCTGTGAATCTCGGGCAGCTCGACTTGCAGGAAGTGTTTCCAGCTGCGCGTCATGTAGCTGGAGTCAAGTTTTTAACTGCATGAAACGATACATTTTTAGACATAAGTTGTAACAGCCGCCGTTTTCTTTGTGAGTATTTATTACACGGCGTGCTGCGGGGAAAAGCCTGTTCTAACGTTTGAGTCTAAGGTTTATTTTTTAGCACCTGGCGGCTCTTTTTTGCTTCTCATCCGTAAACACTCCGCATCTTTCACGTGATTCGGTTTATTTTGAAAAGTCTCAACAGGATCTTGAGCTTTATTGTGAAAGGTTTATGCGAACAAGCGGACACGCGGTGGTTTTACCGTCGTTGTTGCTAACGACAACTCATAAAAACAAACGCTTGTCCGTCTGTAGTGTGGTTATATTAAATTTAAGAGAAAAAGAGAACTTTAAGAAATTAATATAGCCACTACAGCGACCATCAAAACGGTGAAAAAATATTGCCGTAAACAGTTTATTTTGCGACACCACGAAACAAACAATAGCGTGAAGTGAAACGATAGACGTTTTTATATCGTCATCCGATATATATCGTTATATCAAACAGCCCTACTGGATACTGCAAATTATACAGCTGTGTCTTTTAGTAACAGCCTTTTGTTGTTACTGTCCCAACTCTGGAGACGAGTTGCTGTTATCAAATTCCAAATTAGCAAATATTATTCTTAAAATGGTACAGTTTGTCAGTTCCAACATTTTACATCCTTTCACTATCTGAGACCATATCCTCATTTAGGTTAGACAGCATTTCTAGTAGATAATGGCAGACAGCTTGTAGACAAATTAAGGATGCGGTTTGGGGAAAGCCTCAGAGTATTTCTCATGTATTAATGAGAAGTGAATGAATTGGAAAAGAGAGGGAGGGGCATTGAAAAGAGAACAAACAGGGGTTGTATGTAGACAGAGAACTGGAAGGGGCATGCATCGAAGCGTGGTCCCAGTCCTTAAATTCATATAAATTATCTCCAACTCTGTGTTCCTTTGTTCATAAATGACAGATTTATGAGATGTGCAAATCATTACATTCTGTTTTTATTTACATTTTACATACCACCCCAACTTTTTCAGAGTTGGGTTTGTATGTTTCTCATGGCGCTACGTCTCATATGTTGCATGCTGAACTTATTTGCACGATCCTGGACATTCAAAACATTCTCAGTTCAATTCAGTTTAACTTTATTCATATAGCACTGGTTCACAGTAGCAGCAATTTCGAGGTAAACTATGTGGTAAGCTCAAGAATCAGCAATATATCAGTGTAAATCTAATCAGTCAGATTGATCAACCCTATGAGGCACACTTGGCGACAGTGGGGAGGAAGAACTCCCTTTTAAAAGGAAGAGACAAGGGCTTCACTGGGAAAGTAAAATGATGTGGGCTGATTATTCAGGACTGTGAAAGTGAGGGTTTATGCTGGGTGGGACGGTTTTACAGGATAAAGTCACGTACATTGATGCAGCTTTAATGGTGTATCATTTTTCCAGCATTACAAATTGCAGCTGCACCTACGCTCCTATTCTGATCTCTACATGTTTGTGTTGCTTCACTTGTTGCTGTTATGCTGTGATAACAGACAGGAGGTCTGGTGCTGACTCACCCTCATGGAGACAGACAGGCTGCTATTGATGTTGGCTTTCTGAAGCCAGCCCTGCTTCAAGATGCCTCCCCTCTGGGAGCACAGCGAGGCCGAGTCCTGACACACAAACACAAACATTTGGCAATCAGCAAAGACAGATTTCATTACTGCGGTCAACTCACATTAATGCTCCTTGCACAGTAAACATTCACTGTACTTGTACATTGTTTGTAGTATTTTCTGCCATGAAGAAACAATTATTTTTTCCTGTGGTTGTGAGAACTGTTTGTTAATTAGAGCAGAGCTGTATTAACTTTGTCAGTGAAAAAGCATGAACATAAATCAGTGTATGGGGAGAATTTCTTTGGGATCCCATGAAGCAGTTCATCGTAATTCAGGCTTTGTCCTGTCAGTGTAACATCTCCATCTCATCCAGTAAATATCATGGGACTGTTCATCACCACCACAGAAAACAAACACAATTACGACAAGGGAGCGATCTGTTAGTGATCACGCTCATACACACAAACGCACACACACATAATGGTAATGCATCGGGCCACTTGAAGGAATACAACATGCAGAAATCATAACACAGAGCAAGAAGGGTTCTTGTACCTTCTCTGACACACAACTCTCGCTGTCCTCCTGACAGCTGCAACTCTCAAGTCTATACCTGCTATTATCATCTACTGACTGAGTGCTATTAACCCATAAACTGACAGGTCTGTAAAAAGGTGCTACTATTCTTATCATCTTATCAAAACATGAATGCACAAAGATGCAGAGATAAAATAACAGAAGCCTGAGCTGCCCTCCCCGTGCAGCCAGCAGAGCAGCACCATTTACTTGCCTTCAGTTAAATTTCCTCTGTCTAAGTTTATCTGCATCCGGCCTGAGGGTAGCAGGGGGAGGAGGGTTGATGAGAGCTATTTATAGAAACTATAAGGGTTCTGGTTTCACTGGCCTGCAGTCAGTCTAAGAAGGGGTCGAACGACAAGCCGGAACGTGCAAGACACGGTAATACCTGCTTCGCTGAGCAGAAGGCTTTGAAAATGTGAGCAAGATTTATAGTAGAGCACTAAAAAAGCTGTGCACGTGCACATGACACAATGTGTCCATAAAGGGCCCAGTGAGTCAATAGCCTATCATTCCTCCTCCCTGTAGGGAACGATGTCTGTGATCTAACCACGCTCAGGCCGCTCTACTCACCTCGTCTTTGGCGTCTTCATCGATTTCAAACACATGAGCTGGCAGTTTGTCCGTCTTCAGGCCTTTGCTTTAAAAACACAAAACAGAGGGTGACTGGATGAAGCTGGCCTTCTCCCCCTCTGCAGAGGACAGCTACGTCACATATCTGGGTTCTTTATGTCTTTCTTGTTTGTAACGCTAGATCAGATTACAGCCTCCTTCATGTATTATATATGTTCAAAAATACTTCTCAAAATTCATGGTTGCAGTGATAAAGTCATTTCCTCAGTAAGATTTATCACCATGGAAATAAATTCTTTACATCTGGACTGCACCTGCTGTGTGGAGGAACATCTGGCTGAACATCAGAGCTGCACTAACACATTGATCCAGCTGAGGAAATCCGCTGCATGTTACACATCTGGCTGTTTTACCTTATTTTAGCCTGTATGTTTTCCCATATATCCAAACTACATTTTCAGTTTATTCCAGTCATTTCTGTCTCGTGTTCCTTACCTCGGCAACATGCGGAAGTCTCCAGAATAAGCCTCATATTTGTAGTTGATTACGTGCCAGTCAGTGTTGTACATCTTAATGCACTGCAGAACACAGAGAGCTGGATTAGCAGTGGATACGTTCAAATGGAAAAAGCAAGCCATACCAGCAAGCAGACCTTTTTTTAATGACTGTAAATCACGGAGGAGGATTTTGGGGTGACAAATCAACTTCGATCATTTTTCATGAACTCAAAATACAAGTCTGCAAAGCATCAGATACTTTTAAGTGGACTTTTTGTGTTTTTAATTCAGCATAGAACTGCAAGCAAAAAGTCTCCTGCAAGTCATCTGAATGGATATTTGTTCAATAAAAATAAATGCTGAGCAAGCCCAGGGTCTGTTTTAACTGCCCCTATGACAGTTGTTTCCGTGCTACATCGCAGTCATGACGGCTGGCAGATGAACACAGATTCAAAGCCTGGTAGAGCAGCAGTGTATGACTGCATCATGCCAGAGAAGGCTGTTTTTCATTGCTAATACAATATTTCATCAGCGTAGCACGTGTTTACGACTGGACGGTGAGTACTCCCGTTTCTTTATGAGCTCCCAGGGCACACGTCAGGGTCAGTATCATGCAGGCTGGTGTGAAATCATCAAGAAACAGCCTGTTTTGTTGATCATTTTTACTCGTATTCATTACTGAGCAGACTGTAATTAATGATATATATGATAATATAATGCAAAATAACTGTAGTACCTCTTTGGCAAACAGACTCCTAGCCTCCCGCTCGGCATTCTGGGGCACAGAGGGAACAACGGTCCTCCTCTGCCGGGAGATCTGAGACTCCTGTACGCATGCAAACACAAAATGAGCCACATGTGGATTCACATGCATGGTGCATGATGGAGATATTTCTCATAACATCAAACACAGGAAAAGAGAATGAGAGAAAACAGAAGACAAATATACAAAGAAACAAATTCTCTCAGGACGAAGGAGAAGAGTCGACACAAACAGATGCACCACTAGAACAAAACCACATGTGTCTGAAACAACAGCAATAAATACCTGACTGGACCGTATGTGAGAGCTGGACTCAGCCGCGAATAACTGGGCCTAGTGTTTTGAGGATGTTCAGTGATTAATGATGGGAAAATGTCCTTTGGAAAGTAATAGTTCACAGCTCTTTGACTCAGACAGACTGAAAAAGCAGCTGATTTTGGCTGTTTACTGTGGAAATTTCAGCGCAGGTGCTTTGAGCGTAACATATTTGTAAAAGATCCATAAATCACATGCCATAGACGGAGCCAAAGACAGAGGCAACATATGTGACGGGTTAAGCCCTGCACTAGTTTATATTGCGAATGAGCACTTCCTTTAACTTTAACCTTCTGGGAGAATACTATTGTAACTCTTGAAATAACAGGAATGACTTGAGATTCAAAAAATTTACTTTAAAAAGTAACTATGTTCAAATTGTTACTTTTTAAAGTGCTACGGCGGTAATTAATGTCATATTGTCCTTGGATTTTTGCTATTTTAAAGGTGTAATGTGGTTTTGGGGCCCAAAACAGAGTTAAAGTTTAGCTAGCAATGGGCCACCTGTGATAATAAGAAATAAACTGATAAGGATACTAAACTAAGAGCATAATAACAACTACTATTAACACCTGACAATATTGTAGATCTAAAGCTTATATTCCATGCAGCACAATAAAAAGAACTGTTGCAGATTACAGAAAAAATCTATACAAAATAACAGTTTACACCTGTTATAAAAACAGCTGACACATGGTTATTCTGTAGCAGAAAGGATGGCGTGGACTCACCGAGACATCATCCACAGGGCAGAGCAGCAGGTCTCTGTGGGGGTCACTGTGGATCTGAGCCTTTCTCTGAAACACCACAGCCTCATAGTCGAGCGGTTCAATGATCTTCGGCTGCTCCTGAAGGGGGAAGATGGAAAGGACACCAACACATGTCATTTCAAATAAACCTTTTTTTCTTTTTCTTTTCATTTTGATCTCATGCACCAATTATGTTTGTCTTTTCTGTGGTTCTGGTGGGCCCTGCACACCCCTGCTGTTTGAAAGCAGCTAACGAGTGTTCACCTTTGGAACTCCTCACCACCCATGCTTCAGCAGAGCCACAAGAGATTAAAGAGACAACCACAAAGTTCAGAGGGCTGTCACAGTGCAGGAAACCAGCTGCTGGGAGAAATGTGGGCTGATGGGGGGGAAATAAAGCAAAAAATGACCAAAAACTGAAGATAAAGTCTCAGGTAAGGACTGAAAGGGTAGCAAAGGCAACAACTTCATCGATTCATGAAGTCTGATAAAGCTTGACAGAGACATAATGAAACTAAAAAAAAGCAAGTTCAACCAAATACCACAACAAACTATCACGACTTCCTGTTTTAAGTTTCATAGAGAAGTAGATGACAACAAATGGGCCTTTCCATGGTGACTTAAAGAGGCATGCAGCCTCTGTTCACTGTAGCTTTCCACAACTGGGTCAGAAAGTGATCTCACGTATAAATCTAGCCCACTTGGAAGGATTGAAAATTAATTCCAACAAAGTTCCATTTTAAGCTCAAGTTAAGCAGAGAGAAAAGTGATGAAAAGCTTAGCCCGACAAGCCTCTGGCTCAGCGACACCACGCTGCTTGGAGGAAATCGGACTGTATGGATTTGATCAGCGTCTGTGCCCCATTAGTGAGCCGCTGCTACATAGTCTGATACACGCTTAGTGGGCAGACGCAGTGGGGAATCTAAGGAGCCGAGGCTGTAAAGAGCTGACTGAGCTTTGCAGCTGGAAGAGAATGACTGAGCGATTTTCCACCTTGTACTCTGTCATATTTCCATTCATGTAGCTGAGATTAGAGCGTTGTGCTTCTATTGCAGCAGAAAGGCAGTAGTTTGGCTCCTGCTTGCCCCCCTCTCTCTTCACTTTAGGTTAAGCCTATCATTAGGATTGTTTACCTGTGCAATTATTCCGGCTGGATCCAAGCTCTCACATAGGCCTTTTGGAAATATCCAGCTTTATTATAAAATATAGCATTCACCCGTTTAATTGCATGAAAAGAGCCTTAAAACATATTTTGCTCACTTTGAAAAAATACATATGTCTTCAGCAACATCTCATATATTGCTATACACTCCCTGTTTAGGCTGTATTTTTACAGTGTGTGAAAAATGTAAAGTTGAATCTCAAAACCAAAATGCCAGCTGTTTTTTGTATCATTTCCTCAAATTTCTTCCTGACATATTGGATATTTTGGGGCATATTACAATTTTCGAAAGTGCGCTGGATTCAGTTTAGTTAAGTACCGCTAAAAAGTGTGGGACCACTTTGCAATCCCCTTGGTTTATTTTTTGTTTTTTTAAAGAAAAGTGAAAAGGCAAAAAATAAGAGCTTTGCTTGTATGCTTGTTCGAAGAGCTGAGCTCAGAAAATCCATCCAAATGTGTTCACAGATTTGCAGACTAGCTCTAACTAGAACAGAGGGAAAAGTGGGAGACCCCAAGATAAGACTTGTAAATAGATGACTTCCATGCTCAAATGATAACTTTATTAACTTTATTTTTAAAGAAACTAAAGATGATGCTCCAGACAAACAACTAGCTAAATCAGAATCCACTTTGGACAGGCTCCTGTTATACACGAGCGCTACTGAGACTCTATCACTGCAGCCAGCGTCACAAATCATCTGATCCAGCTCTCCTAACACTTCCATGCTCTTACTTTAGAACCAGATCTGATCTTGAACTTTGAACGTTTGTTTCAAACTGCTGCTGGAAACACATTTTTACATGTTTGCTTTACCTTAATCTTTTCCCCTTGTTTTGGGCCACAGTTTACACCTATTTATGAATGAATGTGTTACCCTACAGCTGATTGTGTCTGTATGCTGGAACATGTATTCTTATCTTTAACATTTGGCTTTTTATTGATAGCGTGAAGCACTTTGTAACTCTGTGTTTTTGAATTTGCTGTACAAATAAAGTTGTACAGAAATAATTTCAGATGTGCTAACACAGTCAGTTTGAGTTTTAACATGGTAATTATTGCCATTTTGATCAAGTTTATTTCATTTTAAACCAAAACAAATGCTTTTCGTTTTCTCCAAAACCCTAAATCTTCAAATCAGGGTGCATGTTTCAGGAGTGCATGTCGGCTTCTTGAATATGGTGGCATCTGTGCATAAGCCATAAATGAAGAGAAAGTTCTTCCTTTTCAAAGTAACCAGTAATTTAGCCTGTGAAAGAAGTGTGGTACATGTACATGTTCCTCCACAATTTTCCACCAGAGCCTGACTTTCTTGGCAGTCCACACAAACCCTGTGTCTCGCATTTTTTAAACCACTAATTTAAATAAAAACTTCCTGACCCTAATGGTACTTGTGCTATGCGGATTTAAGTATTTTCCTATTTATGCTGCTACGTAGCATCTGTGCTATCATTTTACATGCAGACCCAGCGGCAGCAAAACAACACCTACAAGTCTGGTAAAACCATTACATATGGCTGTGCACCGCCCCTGCACCCAACACAGCAGCTCTGCTTCCTGTCATGTGCAACAAGCCTGAACCGCAGCGCTACAAGTCAGAGGTGACAGCTCGGCAGCACGCACTGCCTCCACTGCAACGGTGATCACGTTACAGTCAGAAGGAGGGAGTAAGAGGAAGCAAGTTGTGAAGGAGCAAGTTCTGCTTTTACTGAAGAAGCTTTGCAGCCACAGGCGGTGTCACTGATTGAGAAACAGAGAGGCACAAAGAGAGCTGAAAACAATCAAAGGGATGTAGCGCAACACTTGGGTGTAGCTTGAAAGCAGTCTAAACTGTTGCCACCTCCAATTAGGACACACACTCACATCTCTCAGCTATCAGTGAGCTACATTCACTGAGTACAAAGCACAACTCCCAGCCCGCCTCCATAGGACTACAATGATGACGATGATGTTGGGCAGCATGCATTTCCAGATGTCTGTGTCCCATTATGGTTCTGCAGATGTAAGGCACTCACGACTCCAACGTGACTGAGTGGATTTCATTACTTTTAAGAGGGGAGCTTACACAGTATATACACACACTGACATTAGAGTCACATACAGCATAAAGCAGCTCCACTGTCCCACAGCTGACCCCACTAAGTGCTCCAATCTATGTGTAAGTGAGACGCACAGACATGCGTCTCCTTAATCTTTCTCTTACTTCCTGTCTCTTTAAAAAAACAAACAAACAACGACTTAATCTTTAATCTTTACTTAATCTAGAAAAAAAACATATCTGTTCTTAGTTACACCTGTCTCTGTTCTCTGTTTTCTCCGTAATGTCATGGGTTACAGGATATCTATAGAATTTATCAATAAATGTATCTATTTATTTATAGAGTTCTGTATCGATTGTCTACAGAATATCTGACAACAATCCATGGAAACAAGATGCACTCAGGCATCTTGTTTTATTTAGATACCCTGATTATGACAAAGCTATATTTAAAAGACCAATATGACTCATATCACATGCCAGTACCAATTCTTTTGTTTTTTGTACATTATTTCCCACACATAAAAACTTGCTAACGATTAAACTTGGACAAGCATAATTAAGAACAACTTTTAGGGATGTTTTCCTCCTTTTTTAGCCATCCACAATCGATTTATTTTGAAAGTTTAGTCACTGCCAATCAGCTAGGCCCGACTCTTCCCACTTTGTGTTTTCACTTATGACTGGTTCTCCAGTCTGACGGCTTTTGTGGCAGTGCTCGGTATCATTTAGCCACTTTCCCACAGAGTCTATCACCCTGCAGTCAAATGGAGGCTAATTGCCAGCTGGCAATGGAATTCCTTCTTTTGCTCCAGAGATCTGCTGGGAGCTGGCGGGCTGCTCTAACCTGCAGTCCGTGGGGAGCTAGCAGATATGCAGCAATGCTCCTATCAGGACTACCATCCGATGCACTCCAAGACCCTTAGAATGGGATCCATCTGAAGGATGATGCTCAGCTATTAATTTTCAACTATTTGACCAATCAAATATCTATTTTTACGAGGGAAAATAAATCTTCCATTTATAAAATAGATTTTAAAAAAATCTCTTCACTCTTCAACAGATTAAATGGCCACTGACTTTGGAAAATGCTACCTTTTTGTAGAAACGTTGATATGAGTCATCAACCAATATCTGCCAAAGCCGACATTCAGCCAATATATCGATGGCTTCCTGAGCCACTAGTCCAAAATCAAAAGATATTTCATTTTCACATTTAAAAAGCTGGATTTCACACATTTTTATAGCTACGTCCCACTGCTCCCTTATTTCCCCAGTGGGGCACTACAGCAGACGGATCCTTATATTGGACTTATTTTTTGCAACACTTGCCACCAACACGTGCGACACACTACCTTCTGACCCCCTGAGGCTGGGTTTATGACTCCTCCTGGTCTCAAACCAGGGGACTTTTGCATGAAAGGCAAATGTGTGAACCACAGACACACCACAGATACCAGCAACTCCCAGTGGCTGTTTTCTGAAAATCACTGTGTACTTGTTATCAGATTACCTGAGAACACACAGCAGGACTCACGTTTATCAAGTCAGATTAAATAACGCCAGAGACACCGGCACAACAGAGCGGTAATCACACGGTTTAAATTTTAGGATCAGTACGTCATCACTGTCCAGTTGGTTCAAAGCAATTTAATATAATAGAAAACAAAACACACACACAGATGTGGATTTGATAGCAGGACTTTCTAGGAACAGCAGGAAGCCCAATAACCACTAACACACCTCTCTAATGGGAATTTCCATGGAACACAGTTGGCTCAAGGCCAGACAAAAACCCCACATGTTCTCCATTGTGAAGTTTCCTTTTAGTTTTTCTATGTTTATGTCATATATAATACTGTGCAAAAATCTTTGGCTTCCAAGGATCCAGATTCTGTTGCATCTTTTAAACTGGTCTCGACTGATAGTTCTCCGAGCTTTCTGAAGGTCCTTAAAGTCTTGATTTGGACCCTGGGTGCTTTTTGTTTGTTTGCTTCATTAACCCACATAACGCTGGCATATGAATCATTCAAGCATAAAACAGGTACCTAATGCAGGGGATGTCTGCACAGACAGCTTAGCAAAGAACCAATTTTAATGTTGGTAATTACAGCCTGTCGCGAAAACATAGAATTTGTTCCCATTTTTTTTGTTGAATCTATGAAAAATATCAAAGATAACACAAACATAAAACTGTATTTTTTATGTAAATTCCAACAAGGGTATTCCCAAAAGCCTATTAGCCAAAAACTTGGTATATTTCAACATAGTTTGCAGTATGTCCTTAAAAAAATGAAGGAAAGTGGACAAATGGAGGATAAGCGAAAAAGTATCAGGACTAAAAAGCTGTTTACAGACGACCAGTATCTGAAAGTCATGTCCTTAAGAAACAGGAAGTCCTATGTCCTGTTTAGGACCTGACATAGAGAGACAAATCTGGGCCTTAAGTTGATTCATCCACTGTTCGCTGAAACATCATCAGCAATGATCTCAATAGAAGAGTGACTGTCATGAAGCCACTCTTAGAGAAGGGAAATGGGGAGAAAAGGCTGGAGTATGTCAAATTACACAACGCTCAAAATCAAACAAGCTGTGAAAACAGATCTTCTAAAGAGATGAGAAAAAGTCAGATGACTTCAAGAGAAAAGTCCAATAGTGAGTTTTTATAGCCATGTGTAAAACTCAGCAGAGGCTCTTATGAGGGTTTGGGACTGCATTTCACTCACTGGTGTTTGGGATCTTGTCGTAATTGATGAATTTATGAAGGCAGAAAAGAACTATTAGATTTTAATCCACCATGCAATACCATCACACAAAATAACTCTAGAAGTCATGGATGTACCTCCCCAATACCCAGACCTCAACATGACTGAAGCAGTGTTTCGACACTTCGACAGCGACCGATAACCACAGCAGAGCTCCGAATGTTCTTCAAGACGGTTGGAGAATTATTCCTACTTAAATAATTTACTACTACGTTAAGAACAAACTGTTTTTGCCTTATGTACTCTAGAGAAGAGATCAAAACAACTTGCTTCAGATAGTGAGGGGCTTCCCCAAGGCCCAGCATAAATACTGATTACTGGAAATGAATTACAGAAATCTAATCTAGCAAGAATAAAAATATGGAGTCTGTAATGGGTATCATAGCCCAACTTTAAGTTTTATTCAACATTCTCCTTAGAAACTGATAAGATAGTTCTTTTTTTCCTGTTCGGGCCCAGGAGTAGAGTCCTCTTCCTATAAGACCAACTCTCCTGAGACTAAGCTAAGAATGAATGCGCAGACACAGTCACAGAGGATGCATTGGTCACAGCATGCCCAAGGGAATCCCCATGTGAAATTAGCACAGGCCATGCAGTCCTCCACAAAACAGCATTTGTTCTCAGCTGCAGCCCAACCATAAAACAGGAAACAGTAGACATACACACAGCCACACAACACTCTCACCTCTGTAAAAAGAAAAACAATCAGCGCCTTATCACAGGGTTTTTAAACTTGGAAACGCCTTACATCACACAACTCAAGATGAGCATCATGAGACTGATCTCAAGGGGAACAAGAGTTTATCTCTTATCCAAACTAACCTGGAACTAAAAGGAAAAAGATGCAAGAAGCCGCAGTCACACAAACAAAGCGGATGAGTTATCAGATGCATTTTGTTAAAAGAAAAAGAAAACAAGTCATCATTAGGCAAGCGTTAATGCTGCGCTGACATCACTGCGGTTTAACTTCAAGACAAATGTCACGCCTTCGACTTACTGTTATGAAAATCCTTCCCCTGACACACAAATGCTGCATCAGCAGGATACTAAACGCTGTTCATTTCAAGCCACTGCGCCTAATCCCAATGACAGCCACCAGCATCGACATTCATTCAAAGAACACCTTCTGCTTTGCACAACCATCGAGACAAATGTGATAAAAGCAATTACGGAGACAGGCTTCTCTATGCACAATGTGAGCAATTTCCAGCAGAAACAGAGAGGCGAGCACTCACAGCCAGACACAGACACACTGCTCCAAGGCAAGGACAGGGAAGCCATGCTGCTGCAGCTGTCCAACTGGCACCGCTCTTCATCCGCCAGCACACAAAAGGAGCCGCACAGAGCAGAGAAAGCGTGTGTGCTGGAGGACGCTGTCATTTTATTTATTTATTTCAAATAAAGGCCGTTTAGAAAAACCAAGCCACCACGTGGAGTGGATTTAAAGCATATACCTGCTCTCACAGTGACCCTGGTTTAAGCCTTTGCACAGGTTGTAGCAGTGGCAGTAATGCAGACATACCAGGGCTTTACAGAAAGATGTAATAATGAGGACACGGACGGAGCGCGAAAACTCACAAAACAGACATAAAAGTCCAGGAAGAAGAGCAGCCACCTAGAAAGGAGGACTAGTCCGTATAGGCTTATCCTCCCCGGGGAGGGCAGAGTGGAGGGGGGTGGAGGGGGTCGGCTATGAGTTACATTATCCCTGGTGGCTAAAATGACCGGTTCACAGCCAGCCTTTAAAAAGCTCCGCTCACCACAAGGTCCACGGTGGTCCTCACAGCCTCCGACACGCTCTGTCTGACTTCCGCGGCCGTCCCGGGTTTGCTCAGCCTCTTTGTGAATTTTCGCACCTCAGACATTTCGCTCCCCTTTTAGATAAATAAAAATCCTCTTCCTCTTCTTCTTCGGATATGAGCATGCCGCGGTACCGGACGGAGCGGCGGCAGCGCTGTTTCCTGACAGCCAGATGTGAGACGGTGCTTGAGGTGAACCAGCCAGCGGTTCACGTCGCGAGGCGGGGCCGTTGCTGCTGCTGGTGCTGCCACCGCTGCTGCTGATGATGTTGGAAGGAGACCAAAGAGGGGCTGACAGCGTGAGATGCTTCACTCGGACCCACTTCCGTTTCTCCCGCCCCGGCGGAGAGCAGAGTCAAAGATCGTCAGTGTGAGATGATAACACGGTCCACATACAAGGGCTGCAAACACAGGTCGCATTTGGAGAGGTTATTACATTTTTTAGCGTCACAGGTGGGCTTTTTAGGTATTACTTATTCTTGAAAAAAAAGCCTGAAATTTACATTACTAGGATAAGCGACAAAAAGAAGTAGAAGTCCATAAATAAAATATCACAAAAACGAGATTTAATAAGTGATGTACAGAAAGGCACATTAACATTCAAGACTTCAAAAAACAAAAAAACAAAACAAAATCTGTTTCAAAATACATGAGAAGCTTAAAGCTGTGTTTTGTTGTTTTAACTATTTATTGTGGAAATTAAAAATCACAGTGATTTATTGGTCATTAAAATGTATTCTGAATTTTCAAATTGATAATTATTCCTCTCATAAGTCAGCTCTACCAGCTATCTGTGCAACAATTTTCTTTTGAATCTTTTAGAGGAGTTTGTTTTTGTTAATGATGTTTATCATGACACACAAAAAGAACAAAAAAAGCGGTGCTCAGAAAAGGAAGGAAGGAGAGAAGAGATCAGGATGACTTTAGACTTTAGCAGATATCAAGGGCTGTACTGAGTGCAAAGCTGAACAGATGAAATTCTGAGAGATGATTACAGAAGACTGAAACATTACCATTTCCCCTTCATTCAAATATAAACACACACACACACACACACAGACGATGGGGGCAACGTGGGGGCAAGGGCACAGAAAAATATCCTCCCCTGGCCCATCACAGAGTTGTTACGCCCATGGTTTGATGTCTGTATACGTTATGTTTCTGGTCACATCCACCCACTTAACAAGGGTACAGCGCCACAGCAAATTGTCTGTTTTTATCTACTGGACTTTTGAAAATTTTAACTTTGTGATGTTTAATCTTTAGTTTTTATTGTACATCCAACATACTGTCAGTGTGTCATCTATCTATCTATCTATCTATCTATCTATCTATCTTGTTATTAAGAGCAGATGTTCTTCACCTTGGGGCAGCCAATGGGAAGAAATTTGGTTTAAATGGAGGAGGAAGGGAGTTAAGAAGGGGTTGTGCCGAGGTCAGGAATAAAACAAACAAGGACTATTTTGAACTGTGCAAAACTGCTCTATAAGAGTTAAAGAATGCCGGGAATAAATGAAGTATGTGTCCCCTTTATATATATTTATTAGAGCGCATCTTGTGACATCTGAAGTATTAGTGCACAGGAATTTGGCTCATTTGATGTCTTGGATTATAAAACATTGTTCCTAAGATGTCAAACAGGTAGTTTATCAGTTACCGAATCTCATCCTTCAGGTGCAATAGCTGGCTCCAGGTAAAGCTAATGGTACACTGCCACCCTGTGGACTATTCCACAAACTGCAGCAAACGAAGTGCCACTTGTAGTCTGCAGCGGTTCAGTTTTATGTTTGAACGTTCAGTTTAGCAGTGAGGGATGGGGCTTGTTTCAGTTACAGCCTTTTTTAACTTTTTATTATAGTATAAGGTAACTTTGTCAGGCATCGTTTAAGAGATACAAAGCTATTTATGAGAGCAGCTGACTCACACTCATGTTAATGTCCCACTGCAGGCACTTCAGTTTTCTTGTGCTGACAAAGTTTATATTTCATTTAAGATCAAGTGTTGACACATGAGCACCAGCCTGTATGAAAGGATGCTGTGTGCCTGCCTGCAGTGAGAGAAGCCGTCAGCTCAAAGAAACACAACAATATGAACACAGGCTGTTAGTAAGTTTAATAACTGAATTGAAAATTTATATTACATAGTTACATAAACTGTTAAAGGAAGACTTTTATCTTCAGACAACGTTGGACCGAGGCACTGAATAGATGCTTCACTCGTGCTCTTCCATCTACAACTGACATGCACACTTTTCAGTGTCCATAAAGATGTATGAATTTACACTAATAATAATAACAACAACAACAACAACAATAATGTCAATATTAGAAAGCAATCCAAAATGTTAATGTAGCCACATGAAAGATATTATAAGTTTATTGTAACAGTGCTTCTTATTCAAATGAATAGCTTTATTAATCTCTGCATTACTCATAAACATGCAAACATTTTATCCAGCAAAGGTTTTGGAGTCAACTTAATGCGGATCTGGAATTTTTGGAAAAATTCTTTAGCAGGGTGCAGGGTGATTAAACAAATGCAATTTTGCATCTTCTTGGCACAAATTCATATTCATTCCCTCATAATGATGATCTCAGCAAAGTATCAATAATTAATCCAGATACAGGCGTCCTTCTGAATCAATGGACTCAGCTCGTAGATGATGTCAAAGGACGTTGCAGCTCTGGCAGAGGGAAGAAGAATCAGACTGTTTCTGTTTTGAACTGTGAATCAAGCAGGTTTAAACTAAAAAGCCTGAACCACTTCAGTGGCACTTTCAGGAGTCCTGTTATCTGAAATAATATGGACATGCTACAAAGTTACAGCAGGCTAAAGGCCCACAGTTTGTGTCCAACAATTAAAAGCCAGCATGTCATTCTGTGGAATTCCAGAGCGGGATGAGGGCAAGGCTGGTGTGCCAGCATCAGATACGGCCTTCACTTATACTGGGTGAATTCTTTCAATGCCCAGTTCTTCATCTCTATCTCCTGCCGTAATCTGCAGTACTCCTCGGCCAGCGCCTCAAAGTCTTTGCCCAAGATCTCGAAGGAGGCCAGCTTCAACTCGACAGACTGCTTTTCCGCTTTACACGCCTTCAGCTCAGACTCCAGCTTCTCCCTGAAAATGAGATCCGACGAGCTGGTTAGGTTTGGACAAAGGGATCAGTCAGAATGTAGCTTCAACAGAAGAATTTTAGTCTTGCCTTATTTTTCTGTGAGCAGATATCGAGTCAGGCGTGTATGTATCCAGCTGGATTTCCACCATCTCCGCCCTTTAAAAATGAACACGAGAAACAGGAATGTGTGTATAGTTAATGCATCTCATTTTTGACTATGAGTCACGACTGGACTATCAGCACTGGATTAAAACATTCTTAGTACGAAACGCAGTCCAGCTATCTGATTTACGAGAGCGTTAGAGTAATGCAAATGGCCTTATATAGAACCAAGTCTGATGTACTGAAGCACTGAAAACGGCTTACTTTATCTTCTGCAAGATTAATTCACATTTGCCTTCAAAGTAATCCAATTTCTTCCTGTCCAGATCTGTCTGGATCTTCAGCCTGTGGTTCAAGATGAAAGACTGGAGAAGCTGAATGCACTTTGTCAGCTCCTGTGTATGAAAAGAGCAAACAGTGACTAAGCAAACAGAACACATTTACGCATTTCATGCAGCTTAATGTGGCGAGTACATTTCCTCGAAGCATATCCTTATTTTCCCCACCTCCCCCAATTCATGTTTGCAGTGCTATCACTTTAAAAAGAAGCTAGTTAGCACTGTGACTTTGTGACTTGCAAGCTTGCTTATTACTACTAGCGCCCCATGTTTTTGGCTTTCTGACCCGAGCATTTTAAAACCATGTTTTATCAAATCTGACTGCGGTTCAAGTTTGTTTATATAATAGTTTAAAATTAACTATCCAAGGTATTACCAAGGTAGCTGCTGTGTGGTGACTTGCTCATATCAGGACTTTGTAATACATTTTAATTTCATCAAAATAAAAAAGCAGAACCAGACAACAATGATTGGCTGCGGCAGTTTTTCCTCAAGGATACCTTATAAAAGTTGGTCCCAGGATAACAACCACTTAGTCAAGTCAGAATGAGCATTTTGATGAATGATGCAGTGTGCAGAAAATCACAGGTGCAGGATTCATGGATCCAGCTTTTTCCACTTCTAATACGATACCAATACTTTGGCTTCAGGTGTCTGCTAATCCACTGTCAGTGTTAATGTAATGAGCTGAATCCCTCACTCAAAGAAAGAGACTGGAATGACTGATGTATGCATAAAATGTACTTTTTTTTCTTAAATTTGTAGTAAAAATTTAATGTGAGAAATAAAATGTAACAAAATTAAATTGAAGAATAGAAATTCACTATACTGGTATTCATTAGTAAAATTATAGCGTTACAGTAAACACAGAACATAGAACTGCATGGAATAGACTGGCCTGCTGATCGATAGCCCCACTAAAAGCATTCCCTTACACTGAGGTAGAGCTCAGTCTGTCTCTGCAGAAGAACCGTGTTTTCTCTGCACGTCTCCTTCAGACTTTCTGCTCTTTTCTTCTCTTTGTCCAGCTGTGCTGACAGATGAGACAGCTTGGTCATCTTTAGACCCTCGCTCTCACGCTCTAGAAGAGATCACAAAACAGCAGGTTAGTCGTTGTGTCGAGCAAACAGAATGACGTGGTACGAAGCCATGTGGTGAAAGTGTTTATAGCTGCTGTACCCCATTCAGGCTGATAGTAAGAGAGAAGGCTCAGACACTTTTCTTTGAGATGTTTCTCCAGCTGTCTTGGTAGACCCTGTTTCAGTCTTTGTACATTCTAGTAAAGAAAATACAGCGTGGGCATGAGGAAAGCGTTTGTAGTTTGAATTCATTATCAAAAAAAAAGAAAAGAAAAAGAATATTAAAAGAAGTTCTGGTGGTGTGCATGTTTTTATGGGTTTATGCTAAACAGATGCAGCACATCCCAAACGGATTTTAACTTGCATGTACTGAATTTTATGATTCACCTTCTCGGAAGGCATGAGCTCCATCACGAGCTGGGGGGTCAGGCCTAGGACCGACGGCTGGTCCTGGTTTGTTGTGTTACTGGGATCCAGCTGCCTGACACACTGAGCCACCAGTAGACACCTCTCCATCGTCTCATAGAACTACATAGGAACAAACGCAGATTATTTGTTTGTTATATGTATTTTTTTTAAGACCATCATTAGTAAGAGTCTCCTAATTGATTAAAAACTCCATGTGATAAACTTATGTCTATAAATATAAAGTTTTATCTGACCGTTTATCTATAAAAAACATTCAATAAAGTAGTTTCAGCCGTACAGCGAGATGAAAATCTGCTCAAAATTTGACAAAGAACATACAACGAATGCTTGTTAGCCTGTCCATAGCTCACTGATAGCTCTTTATGCACTTTTAAAGTGTGTAAAGAAGTGAAATGTACCATGTTCTGGTCAGGGGGTACAGTGGCATGGTGCTTCCTGACACAGTGGTTCTGGATCATCTCCTGCAGCCCTCTGTGCAGGCTCTCGGAGCGCAGCCATTGAAGTTTCTGAATCTGCAGCTTCTTTTCAGCCTGGAAAAAAAAAACCCAATCACACATGTAAGGACTCACACAGTACCTCACCAAATCGGTCAGGTCCTGTCCCAGCTCTAGAAAGAAGGCTTAACAAACTTGGAGCCAGACCCTAAACACTGAGACAGGAACCTTTGAGATTTGGAGTCCAGAACAGCTGATCAGGCTTAGGTAACGATGAGTCGCTCCATCTTGAATTAAGCACCTTTATGGGTGCTGGAAAAATAAACCAAAGCATTAATGGTAACCCCGTCAATAAAGATCAGGGTCTCTATTTGAATTCAGTTTCATTTTTAAATGCAATCGTTCACCTGTTACCTGACGAGGTTATAGGAGATGAAAATAAAATGTAATACAAATATGGACCAAACATAAAAGACTTCTGTGATTTTAACATTGTAGTCCAACCTGAAACTTCCACTTTACATGTAAAAATCTGACTCTATGGCCTCTGATGACCAATCCAATGCAAATAAAGCTTTTGAAATGAAATATTGTTACAACATATTCAGACTGCCTGAAGCCTGTATTCACAAAACCCATTGTAAGATACATTTAGTCCAGCTGTTTAGTCCATGTAGCGCTCACTACATGTCTGGCTATCCACACAGCTTTTTCAGGTTTTGCAGGAGAAAATTTGCCAGTGAGCAGGTTGACTGAGAACCTTCACAGACACAGTGAGCAGGTTATTCGAACATAATCTGTTTCTCTGGTAAACGACACAGAGGTTAAGTTAGCTCTCTTAAAGCTATAAATAAACAAACAGCTTCTTTTATTCCAGTATTTTTCAGTTTTTTAAAAAAGACTGTTGTCTTGAGCAGAGAAAGGGTCGATCCATGTTGTTGCAATTCTTAGTGCTCGCCAGTAGAGGTCGGTAAGTCACAGACTATTTACTGAATCATAATGACTGGACTAAAATCTCATTTCCATAGAGGTGTGACAAATTATGACTCCTCATTTCTGAATAGTACAAGACAAAAAAATACAAGAAAAACTATTCCATGACCCAGTTTGAATTATTTTTTTAAACTCTACACTGATTAACTTCTGTGTTGATAAAAACAAATAAGAACAAATAGGAACAAATAGGAATAGGAACGACAGACACCTTGTCCAGCTCTGTTTTCAGCGGAGCGGTGAGTCCGGTTTGATCCACATGCTGTGCCAGAGTGGCCAGGAGTTTACAAAACTGCGGGTTCTGGATCAGATCTTCTTCAGTCATGTGACACAGTGGAAAGGAGGCGAGGACTGAGGGGAAAGGCACAAAATGCAGAGAAGTAATTAAGGACGGCCAAACTAAACGGACAACAGTAAATTTGGCAAGAAAATAAAGCTAAAAGACCCTACTTTCGTATTTAACAATAACATCGTTATTTATACATTAATAGATAATACTTTAAACTACGTTAATTTATTATATCTACTTTCTGTTATTACTACAACATAGGGTTACTAGCAGATACGCAGTCCACTTGTCCTCTTACCCTGTTGATGCAAAGTGTCGCCCTTCCCAAGCGACGATATGTTTGCTGTCTCGGTACTACCGGACATTTTCCAGTTAATTATTGTCCTTGGTATCCAAACACACAGGAGGTTTGTGGATTTGTGAACTATTTCTTTCAAACACGAAGACGAGCTGAAATCTTAAACACGTACTTCCTGAATCAAGTTGCGCGCGTTTGCCGGAAACCTTCCTATTGGCTAACTGGACCACGTGGTCATACAGCGTTCCCTGGGAGACGGCAACGTGCGTGAGGTGTAGAAGCGGAAAATATCGAGATTTTAATCTTTTCCCATTAACAACTAAATGTCCTTTGACATTAATATTAATAAATTGATATGGCTTAAGATAAAACTGAATAAACAACAATTACAGTAACAACAACTGGAAGCTAAAGAATTTGGCCATTATGACACTATCAGGATATTCTCTTTCTTTTTCCTCTTCTTTTTGTGTCCTTTGCTCCTCGATATTCTTTTTATTTCCAATTTTCCTGATGTACTTTTAATTGTATCACGTTTTTAGTTCATTTCTTGTTCATTTGTTTTTTTTTTAATTGATTTTTAATCTTCACTTTTTGCTTACTGCTCACTTGGTTTGTTTGCTTCACTATCTGCCTGTATCTGACTGCATAACCTCAGATTAAAGATGTTGGACTTTTGCTTTGTCTCCTGTGTCGGACCTCTGGGTTCTCTTTCCCTGTGTTCCTTATAATTAGCATCTTATCCATCTACAAACAGGTATTTCACAACCACATGACAGAGGATAAGGCATGCACTGCTGTGTCTCTGGGCTTTCCTTGAACAAGCAGTTAATAAAATTTACGAATAATCAAAATGTGCTTTGACTCTTATACCTCGGTGTTGGGGAGTAAAATCAATAAATGACTCAAAGTATGTGTATATGGTCAATTTATATATGATCAACTATGTGCTGCAAGTTAGGTGGAGAGGGTGTTCATTGGACAGAGATGGGGCTCTCATGTTTTCATGCTGGCTGTCAGTCTGATGATTTTGTTTTCGTGCCTTAGGCTTGTATGATCACCTCGCACCACGGCGGTTGCTGGCAGCGGAACTAACATCGCTTTGAACCTCCAAGGAGAGATGATATTAGAAGCAGATGTCTCGCTGTGCTTTAATAAATGACAATCAAGTTTTTACATTCCACTAAATTTGGGGGATTTTTGGCTGTGGGATTTCTCCTGCTTGCTTTTTCTGTTTTTGATTATACAGCAAAGAAAATGGATTCAAAGACGTGGAAATATCCTTCTACATGTCAAGCAGAACATTACTAGCAGGGGGTGATTGGCAGGGCTATGGCGCACACTGCCCTGTTTATTTAAAGGCAATAAAACCCAGTATGTTCACCATTATTAAAGTAGATCACTTATTTATTTATTTATTTATTATTTTATTGGGGCTGTCAAGTCTTTACAGGCTACATCAGCCCCTGTATTTATCAGTTTCTCTTCCATACATATTATATGTACATATGGGGCTGCACAATACTGGTATTCTTGTAGCGTGTCTTTTCCACATGAACTCTGACTTCTCATGTTTGCTTCTCGCAGCTGTTTCCTCGCAACAGTCCCTGTCCATATCTGGTCTTCTCAGTGAAGGATTTCTTACCTAAGATTTGCCAACACTGCGTGTACTTCTCTCCCAGTAAGGGTTAGCCAGCTTTAAACTTTGTGGATCTCCACTGGACGGAAAGGTTTGCGTTCCCAGTCTCAATGTGGCTGTTTCTACAGAGTAATGTAACTTTGAATGGTCCACAAATAGTAACTTCACTCTACTGCTGTTTACACAATAACTAGTGGTCCTCACTCATCAATGAGTGGGCAAATTTAGACATGGGAGCCAGTCAATTCGAGTAAAATTGTAACTGACAAGGGATAAAACCAATGGATTGTGCTGGGATGCGACTCTATAGGTGTGATTGGTTGCGCTTATAGACCAGCCCTTATTCGCTTGACCAATTAATGAAAGCTAAAGGTAACCGACAGTTACTTCGGCCAATTATAACGTTGGACTTCCCGGTAGGTGGGTCTCCGTGTAGAGGGGTGGGGTGTTCGAGGTCATTCAGTCCCTCTCTGATTCACTCTATCGGCGTGTGTGTGTGTTGAGGGAACGGGTAGTTGGAGTAAGGAATCGCCGGGCGCTAGTGCATCACGAATGCTTTTTTTTGGGAAAGAAACGCCGCTGAAAAATTACACCACAGACCGAAGAAGCGACCCCCGGTGACGACTTCTGTGAAAAGAATCTTTTCAACGCAGCGACTGCGCCACACGCACAGCCAGGCAAACGCAGCCGGGCTATCAAATGTTAGCCTACTAGCATCCCTGAAAACAGACGGGATCAAGGTGTTGATAGCTAGCCTCCCAGCTAATTGCCCATCAGCTAGCATCCTCAGCGGTAGCATCATTAGCTCGTTTCTCCTCGCGCACGTCGAGACCTCGCCATCGCTCGTGGCGGTCCCTTTTAGGTCGCGGCAATCAAATCCGACACTGAGACAAAAACAGAGAGCGGTTCCTCCTCACTGGTGCTGGAGACGGCGTCTGCGTTGCATTAGTTGACACCATCACACCCAACCTCCCAACCCCATCACCTCTGCCCCTCTTCCTCCACCCGAAACACTGGAAATCCACAAGCGGCCGGGTAGCGGCGAGGGGCCGGCGAAGCTGGGGGTGGTAACGCTACCGGACTCGCAGGGAGTCACAGCGGCTACAGACAAGCACAGCCGTGGGGATCTACCGACAAGTATGGACGGGCTGGCCGTGGAAGTTCGCGGCTCGAACGGGGCCTTCTACAAGGTAACCAGGTTACAAACGTAGTTTCTAGCTGTCCCAGTTAAAGTTTTGTTTCCTTCTCAAAACGTTAGGTTTCGCTCTTCTGAGCTCAGCTCTCGCTAACTGGTACTCTGCTAATGCTAGCGTGGGTCCACTCCTGACGAACAGGGATGGTTTTGCGTTCAATTAGGGCTGGCCATTGTGGGGTAGGCAGCTAGCCGTAGCTAGCAGTTAGGCTAGGCACACTTGACATCACCATGCATGGCCTATGTGTGTTCATTTTTTTTTTTATCACATGTCAGCGTGAAAACACGCTGTAAACCGTTTTGAAGCGACATACGGCAGGTCCGCTAATGAAACCCTGGATGGAAACATTTAAAAAGGGCAGCGAGCTGCTGATCAGACAGCTGTTGTGCAGCTCCTACGTGCAAGTGTGATGTGATGCTACATCAAAGCTCACATTCTTCATAATTGCTTTGTAGCCCAGCCCAGGTTTCAGCTACAGCGCTGTACGGCGTGTCTCATGTTTATTGCCCTGACTGACGCTTTTGGTTTCAATTCTGCCTGATTTTAAACAGAAAGATCACTTTCACATGCACACACATGACTTCAGGTCTTTGTTGTTGCTGTGTCACAGCTTGTTTACGACGTAACATTAAGATGGCAGCCAAACTATACTATCAAGTATGTTTTGGTTTGTTTTTTTTCTCAGATGTCTTAAGTGATCAGGCTCACAGGTTTGGGTCTGTGAGAGAGATTGTAAGGTTTAAGGGGCAGCTTCAGCCTGAGGAGACATTAAACCGTTTTGGGGGACAGGGAAATAAACCCTACTCACCCTCACCACCTCTGTCTAGTTTTAGAGAACATCTTTGATTCAGCTTTTTGGATAGCCCATTTCTTTGCCTGTGTCTTCAGTCTTTTTTTTCCTCAACCTTTCAGCTGGCCGGTCGAGCACATGATGGGTTAGTGATGACCCTATATTTACCCTCCTCATGCTGCCTCACCTGTTGTTCTGTTTTACGGGGTGACAGTTTGGCTCTGGCGTCAAACACTTTCCACGAAACTCTGCTGTGTCCATTATTTCACAGCTCTTTCGGCGGATGTCATTGACACATAGCTGCGATTCTCTTTAGTGTATATTTTTGCCCTTGATGGAGGTGAGTGGGGTGAAAGCTTTGCTACTTTCCTCCTTTCCTGTCGTGATTGGCACATGGGTATAAAAGGATTTTATTCAATTCCACCACCATTCACCCCGTTACCACTTTATTGTTTTCTGTTGAGCTATGAATGGGCATCATGTTTATTAAACTGTCAGGAAAGTGGCACTCTATATGGTTTTCTTTGCAGCAGAAAACACAATGGGAAAACTGAGAAGACTAATTTTTAAAAATTGTGACATTCCCTTTTTTTCCTACGTCACTGAAGCTTGTGCATTAAACTGCCTTCTTTTCATCTATTTATATTTCATTATAAGCCGAGTCTGATCAGAGGCTGGTTATATTAAAAAAACTGTGAGAGGAATGTTGCAGACCTGGCATCTTTTCTCCAAATGGTCTTAGTGACCACATGTGTGTGCTGGCCTAATGCTGAAGTGTGGACACGGGCAACTGTAGTAAAAACCTAGCAGTGCCTTGTGTAAGGGGCAGTTAACCTGACAGAGCATGCACACAGCTGTCTCACCACATGTGACCTGTGGAAACTAAAGGGTGATTACCTTTTAACTCCGATCGGTTGGCATTGCTGACTTCTGTGATAAAGGCCAATCGGCTCTGAAGCTGGAACCCTGCGATGATGTATAGTATAGAGGGATGGATGGTGGGAATGCTAACCAGGACCTTCTCAAAACTGAGGCAGTGGTGGTTAGCATTAATATCTGAGAGTAGACTGCAAAAAAATAAAAATGGTGTGACATCTATGCAAACAAAACAATCAAAAGTGGCTTTAGAAAAGTTTAACGTGGTATCATGTTTCTGTCTTCCTGTATCTTGATTCAAGCGTGGAGCTTATGTGTTCTCAGCATTTCCGTACCCAGGGCGCACACCCACACTTTGTTAAATTATTTAATAATTCATGCTATACGTACTTTGTGACAGTAAATAATGGAGCACAAATCAGTTGCATCTCCAGTAATTGTCTTATCTTGCGGCTAGACCACAGCTGTGTCGTCTTGGATTCAAGGTAGAGACGGTTTTCTTAATTTCTGCTCTGCAGCCTTGATGAGCTACAGTGTAGCAGGTACTGGTGAAAGATGCCCCTCCAACACCAGAACCAGAACTATGTCACCGTTTGCTGCAGTCTAAGTCAGCAGGGTTGGATTTTGTCCTATAGCCGGATGACATCAAACTGCTGCAACAGTGACTTGACCATCTAGCTGTAGGGTAACTT